ACATCCGATTTGAATTCTCTTTCATTCATTAGGACGGCCCCTGTGTGTCGCTTCAACACGTGGGGTGTGCTGAATGTACGACTTAAAATCTAAATTTGACACGGTTAAATCAAAGCTACGAAAACAATGTTTTTTGGGTAATATATATCTTTTTGAAATAACTTTTGTACCCAACGTCTTTGACAAATCAGAAAAGTAGAAAATCGAGATGTTTATTTGAAAAGTAGTTCTCATAAACGTATTTTAATATGACTTAGTTATGAACATAGGGTTAGCAACACGTGGCCCAAGGGCCAGATACCAAACTTAAGTGTGAGCAGGTTAGCAATGAATATTTGCATCTGTTTCTGCCGAGGATTGACGGACCGTACATCAACAAACAAGAATTGAACCACATGTTCCATTCCCCCATACAAACGCCATCTATCTCTACCACACTGAGATAGTCTCCCCCGTTGCACAACGAGAACAATTTCAGTTGTTGACTTCCCTTAGCCTTATCTTGGCTGACGTGATCGCGATTCTGACAATGCCTCCTTAACGTCACTCACGCCGTTGACGTTAACGTCACTCGGGCCGTTGACGTCATTACACAATTATTTTTTTCAATACGTATATGACGTATCTCGAGGGAAACGCTGAGAAACACCACTGCATTTACACGCAACTTGGCTAAAATCACGTGACCTTGACAACATCGAAATTAACCAGAACAATCATTTAATCTACATTTTAATATTCAAAGCTATTTGACCACTCTGGGGAAGGAATCACGTACATTTATCAGTTAAATAAACCAGTCTGGTTTCACAGACCACAGATAATGTACACTTATTTGCCGCATAGCGTTCTCCAAATTGAGATAATGTTAAGGCCATCTGCGATCTCACAAGCATCCCAGGGGCATCACCGCCAGAGACTTCAAGGCCAAGTTATTTCATGTCAATATGACTGGCATAGCTATCTCACACCGTACTCTCGGAGTGTCACCTATCATATTTGCCATCGAGATCAATTCACTAGAGGACAGGTATTTAGGACGTCCAACGGTAACTTGAAAAACAGCCCACTCGTGCACACAACAACATCTAACCCACGTAACGTCTCTCGCTATTCGGTAAAAACATTCCAATCATTTCTTCCAAAAATGTTTTTAAATGTTATCATTTTGAGGTAAACTGGTTCAAAAGGTGTTTTTACCTTGAAGACATTTTACACCGAAATTGGGTCGTTCAGCTAGCTGGGAATAAGCGGGAACTTGGATCGCTGCCCCAACGGGTAATTGGTACAAGGCACGTTCAAACAGCTCACTTTAAAAAGAATATTATTTCTAAAACTAGCTGAATTAAAGAATTATAATGGATTATCACGTCCCTCGCAACTATGAACCTTTGAGTGTACATCAATACAAGGTTGAGTTATACTGGACGTATTCTGACAAAAGTACTAACTTTATTCCTTGTTGTAATGAGATACACAGATGTCAGTATATCAATTCTATATTGCGTGAAGACACTACAAAGTTATGCTGTTGTTTTTCTTTATTTTTTGTTCTAAATCGTTACCTTTCACAGTATCAAATTTGACCTCTAAAAAACGCCCTCGTATAGTCTCCTGCCATTGAACCAATACATGCGTAATGCTCAGCAAACGTCATCCAGTGCAAGGGGTTCAAAAAACGTCAAATGCCCGTGTGTAAAACACTAGGCAAATGTCCCGGATTGTTCAAGCCAAAGCGTCTCTCTGGAGACATTAGTGGCGCTTTGATGATGGATTATCACAGCTAATCAGCCCAAACCTAGGGCCGGTTCGGCAGAAACGAGTGGTACCCAAAGTCGGAAAATATTTGGTTGTAAAATATGATGAATGGAAATGAGACGGAGGTTTAAATTGTTGCTATATGATGCATGTGGTGAAATATATTTAGATACATTATCTATGCTTTAGTGAATTGGTATATTTTATTCAGGAAATCCTTGAGTTTAATGCATCACAGTGCAGAGTAAATTGTATAATTAATGTATTAATAACCGGGAATAAATGACTATACCATATGTACAACCTTGCAAAATCACGTAACGATTGTTAACGTTTACGCTATTTATCATTTAATGAACTGCAGTCTCAAAGATGCCTGTTATCCAACATGCTGAAATATAAATGTCATATACATCCCATAGTTATGTCATTATCATTTAAAACATGACAATGACATGACAACGACATGACAATGACATCACATCACACGCGGGTGGGTGTAACAGCGTCTTTGTTGGAGTGAGTTAGTGTGACAGTTTTGACGTTCCGCGCGGCTAACTCGACCAGTCGAGGAACACGGGCTATAAGTCGACAGGTGAAACATGAAGCTGGTCCCTGCTGTTGTCAGACATCACAATACACACACGTGTCCCCTAGCGTCACGCCCTACTGCCGAGCCTTTCTATCTTACTACACTATCTTACCTCCTCTTTCCTACGAGGGGTATCACAACAGTGACTTTGCCTTATATACAGTTCCATTATCACGAGGTCAGTATTGTCGCATAAGAATATTTCAGTAATTAGAGTAAAGAAATTGGATGGTAGTATGTTTCTCCAATAACAGAAAATAAGCATCGAACGTTAAGAAATAGGGTAGAAGTATACCACCTTGCCACAGACCTCTATCGGTGTTATTGCTTTTAAAAGTTCTTAAATGTTTTCAACAGCGTTACGTCAAACAAACTCACATTTAGGACAGCGTTTTTTAATAGACAAGGCCCAAAACAAGAATGTCTATTGTTAATTATAAAATGTTGAAAACGTGTAATGGACAGGTGAACAGTTTCTAAATATTTCAAGTCTACGCGGATAATGTTTTCAATCTCTTCATAACAACAGAGTGTTTGTAATAAACACACCAGCAGAACTACAATTAGGCAAAGTGCTTATAATTCTTGGCAAGCTTGTAATGTATTTAGACCCAGTGAAAACACTTCCGTACTGCTCGACATCCTCCCACATACCTCGCGTATCCACAGAAATTACAAACCAGTTTAGTTCCTGGCTCCAAACTCAACAATCCCACATCTATCTGCACTTGGATAACGCGGATGGGTTAGCGAACTGAGCACGTGGTGGCTTCTCCTTCAGCCTGAACAATCTCAAGACACTGCCTGACTTACCGATCCAAATATGCCTCTATATTCCATTCAGAGTGAAGACGAATTACGACGAGTTATTGTCGCGGTATAATAGACGAAGCCATTCTCATCATTTTCGACGCGCAAATGAGACTTAGCTAGAATACAAAGAAATGTATGGGAATTTCTAATGAGAAACACCCTTCTGATGGGCCGTTTCAATAAGTATTTACGTTCGTGGCTGTCTTTCTCGGATCGGAGTCCACGTACAACGTTTATAACCACTACCTGCTGAGTGATGTCCTCAATGGGCTTTCATACTAGTGAGAAATCTATTAGCACGTATATAATAGGCTAAGCGACTTTGGTCATCGGGAGGCCGGGTTTAGAGCCAAGGAGAAAGAATACTACTAAACCGGCAGTGTCTTTTTGGCCTGCGATCGGGAGCTCACTGACCCTTGCCCACTGTTCACTGCAGTGTTAGTATATTGTAACGTCGTTTCTATTGAAATTCAAAGGTAACGACTAACATATCTGTTCCATTGTGTCTTGGCGTTAACAGAACTTGTTTAAGCCAGGCTCCGATTTTGCCTGATGTGATATAACAAATGTATTATTGAACTTACAACCTCCCTTTTATACAGAAACATATCTATGCCAAACAGAGCGTGAACGGTCCATGTAATGAAATGGTAAAATAAACAGCCGTTAAACACCGTCGGAATCATTAACGTGTTAAATTTGCCCGAGTAGCGGTTTAAAGGAAAGTTACGCTGTGGCATGTGTCTAAAAGAGTATCAATGGAAAAGACGTCTTGAGAGGATCAGTGTTGAAGGCATGTGAAAGGTAAACACAGGGCCCAGCCTGGTGAGGTGGACACGGGACGTCGACGTTGCTGAAGCCGCAACCGGTCAGGACCGAGAACGCGCTTAGAGACAGCCGCCGCCGCTGACACACGGAGCTTGCACTGTTTTGAGTACATACCAGAACCCTTAGTTCGTCGTGCGGACAAATCCTATCTCTGCCCTATAGAAATGTCATAAGAACTGTGTAAGGGAACATGCACCATGCTGTTAGCTCCGGGGATCTTTTACCTGGTAAATGTTTCAGGAGGTATGTGTGGCTCATATCGTATGTTCAGTTATCGGAGAACGGCTTGTCAATGGCGTGAGATTTGGAGTATAGATCATCTGTTCAAACGTGTGCATGTAGCTGATAAGATTTTGCCGTTTCTCAAACATTTCTATTGAAAACCCGCACGTTACGTGTTCATGAGAAAGTATTGTTTACGGGTATATTTTTAGCAATGGTGGTTGGGTTAACCCATGTTTAATCACTGAAACAATTCAGGTTTCGAAAGGGTGGAAATCATGCCATGCTTTTTTTAACGTCGCGTAAAGAAATCTTACTACACTATTAGAACTCTGTTAAATGTGGTGTGGCGACACCCTTATATAATGGGCAGCTGGTGTTCTTTTTAGCAGTACGTTGGACACGTTACGCTGACAGTTGCACCCCTTGGGGGAATACACCCCTCCCCTTTGTGAATAGACGCTCCACCCCTCCCCCTTTGTCATAAGACGCACCCGGACAAAGACGCTAGCTCGAACTCGCCACAGCAAGATTCCTGTATGTCATTCTACACTGCCGGGTATGTCTGTTGCATTTCTACCACGGCGCCTCGTCTGTATATTAACGCAAAAATACCCTACAAGTCCACACATCCACTCACACGAAGCGATTACCTGCCCACCTCCCGCTTATATCATCAACAATTACGCGTACCAATTTGCACAGCAAACACGTGGGGCTAAGTCAGCGGTGAGTTACTATACTACTGCTGAGATTACTACTAGAAGGAAAACGTAAACAAGCTTACCTGAACTTCATGCATTTGTCCCTTGTTAGCTTTCCGAAAATACTCCGGTAGAGTCCCAACAACGGGCAGTCCCGTGGGACCAGGCAAGTCCTCAAAACTCCTTGGGGATGCATCAGTTAAAGATAGGTCCGAAGAATCGGACGCTTCGGTAAAAACACGGCGAACCCCAACGGTGTTTCTCTGTCCACGGGCAAGAAGAGTCCGGCCATGGGATGCGACACGTCTCAACACCGACTCAGCCATAGCGTCTGAAAATCCCACAGAAAAAAAACTTCTATATCAAGTCCACTGGGCCAGAAGGTAGCGCCCTCCGAGGCGTGGAACAGTCGTCGTAATGCAGCGAGGGATGCTGAGCTCGGACTAACGGTTGTACTGAAGCTGTGGAGCTTCCCGTCTTCTCACTGTGGAGGCCGGCCGCGCTTGTACCGTGGCGTGACTTCAACTGTAGAGTTGTTCGCACCTCGGCCCGATCTTACTCGGAGCTTGGCGGTCCGCTTACTGAGCGAAGCAATAGACGAATTCACTTAAATAGGGTCAGCCCGTGCAGAATGAGCGCACGTATACATAAACACAGAAGGTGGAGATGTTAGGTTTGTTACTTGCTGCTCTGATCCAATCAGCTGTTGCTTCAGCTGAAATACCGGTCAATCATACGTTCTCCATACCAAACATAGAATTATGCCATAAGAAAATTATAGGATTTGGGGTTTGACGTTTATGCAAATCAACCTTGCTAAAAATTCGGAGTTGGAAATATGACAGTGGGGTCTTGTTTGTGTGCTTGTAAGAACCGAGTCTCCGTGCCGAGTTTTGATAATTGGTCATTTCATATTGGATTTTAACTTTGATCCTTAGGTCTAAATCTCGTGAGTATTGAAATGAGTAATTAAACATGTATTATTATATAGGATTAATAAACGCGCATCACCACATATATTTTTAACTGTATGTTTTTAATTTATAAAAAAAGTACGTCGTATTTTACAACATAGGAATTAGATTTTTCTGCAATTCAAGCATGCGGAAAACATGACAATCGTAATACGTACCGATGATTGATTGAAATGAAGCCGGATCAATTTCTCTCAGCTGTTGAATGACAATAGGTATTGAGGCTCAGAATGTAAATTTCTCTTGACATACATACACCATGAACGGGTTTGAAAGTTGTGTTTATCAGTCGCTCGTCTCTGTTTTATGTGTCCCGATTTCCCGTTGATGATGAAATCTATGTCCACTCAGAGAACGTATTTCACGTTTAAAGGTCTTCTCGTGTAATGACCCTCTATTATATGGTAATTGAAATGAACGCAAAGGTTTCAATTGATCTCGTAGATTATTTTTATGAACTTGTATGTACTTGAAAGTGCGATATCATAACAATCTGGACACTGCCCTGTTTCCGTACGCGTTAGGAAGTTTAGCTTCGGACAGTACTCGAGTGTTTAACTCGGTATGGCTCCTGTTCTCATACCTGCGTGTTAAGTCCTCTGTGTCTCCTGCATGCGCTCGTACCCGCCTTGTATAGTATGTTATTTTCACTCGTTCTTTTGACAATAAACATCCTTCCAAAGTTTGTACGGAAAAAAATATGGAGTCAAATTGACCTGATTTGTCTTTATCATGGATTTCTCTGCAATAGGAAGGTACCGCATCATTCATTTTGTAGGACTGGTTTCAGGGACAATAGAATAAGAAGTTTTATTTCTGATGTTTTATTGATAAAACTATACCCGGTTAATTTGCGAAGGTTCTTGCAGTGGTGGGTTGTACTGTACGACAGTCACATCGTGTGGAACCTAGAGAGTTTATCTTTACAATTACAAAAAATCCTCATTGTTTGGGGTGTTTTATTATCCGGGTACATTATAACCTATATAATCTCGGTTCAGGGAAATTTCGTGAAAGATTACCTGAGCTAGGCATCATTTTAATATCAAGTTTTAGCACTTTAACAATGCCTGTTTCTTCTTATAAATATATTTACCAATTCAGATACAATAGCGGCTAAAAATACAACTTAGCCAGAAATGATACTTGTGTGTAGAACCATCTCGATAGTTACATAAATGTTTTCAAGTTGTAAACAATGGGTTCATTGAGTGCAGCCTGGGGTTTAAAACGATAGTGAATGAGGGATGCTCACTTTCATTTGTTTCTCACAGAGGACGGAAGAAAACGTGCGACTTGAAGTCTGTCAGTTGATCGTGCACCTGAACTTGGCGAGGGTATTTGCTTCAAATACCTTCGTTTTCGTCAACATAGCATGTATCAGTTTGTGTTTAGAGGCAGCCCATATGAAACAACACCGACGTCAGGAATCAGAGGCTAAAGAAGCAGTTGAATTTAACAGGACAAGTTTATGGACAAACACTGCAGCGGTCGCTGACGCGCGGGTTTTCATAGTGTATGAAAAGCAAGCATTGTTTAACATGAACAGTAATAGGTAATCAGTGAGTCAAATTATGTGATATTCACGCTTTAGGCAAAGACCTTTGTCTTTATTCAAAAGTTTATTAACAAAACAATACAAATTGTTTTCAAGGCACATTCTACCACATCGATATTACACCCGCCTCGCTGTTCCAATTCTCTGGCCCGTAGTCATCGGGCAGAAAAAGCCTTGGGTTTATCTACTGTAGCTCCGCCCCTCAATTCTGATTGGCAGGGAGCCCGACCAATGAAATGGAAGCTATTCAATTCTGTCAATGGCTTGCCTCGATGACAGATTACCTAGGTCATTCGGTGCAGTTTGTATCGCTCTCAGAGAGAGAGTGGTTTGTGAGCTACGTGCAGTTGTTTCGCCATACTCATGGACTGGGAGGCTCACACAGCATTTAGAGTAGTACATGTTACTTGTAATCCCATTCTTATTACCGAAACAAGCTTAACACTTGCACAAGCCATCTAACCACACAGTCACGCTTACAGTAGTAGCCCAACCGGCCTTCGAAGCCCACTCGATTCTCACTCTAGGTATACACACATTCAACAGGTACATTCGTCTCTGTTTCGCCGGTGTATTTTAAACTGCTTATAGTAGTGGTTATATTCGGCGTCATACGCTGATCAGGCAGCAACCATTTATTAAAGTAATGTCGAACTCGTATTTCCCGTATATTAATTAACTTGACACGTTTACCAAATATTAATTAACTTGACACTGGTCAAGTATGTTAATTAAGTTAACACGTAAAATGTATTTTACACTAAGTCATGTAAATCTTGAACCTAGCCGTGTACTAAGATAACATGTATCGATATATATCAAATACTTAGCTTAAGGTATATATTCATATTTAATTATGGGATGTATATTGTAGTTGACGTATTCTTGTATACAAATGGCCAGTAAAATGTGAATATTTGTGTACGATACTTCGGATAACCTTTAATTAGGTCATTGTTTGTTTTTGTTGTTTAACACCGCACTCAGCAATATTTTAGCTATAGGACGGCAGTCTGTAAATAATCGAGTCTGGACCAGACAATCCACTGATTGACATCATGCGCATCGATCTACGCAATTGGGATAGGATGACATGCATCAACCAAGTCAGCGAGGCTGACCACCCGATCCCGTTAATCGACACTTTACTAGGCCATACTTAACTAAATATTAGGTTTTTAGCTACGTCCGCTTCACAAGAACTTCCCAACACCGCAATGCATTAAACCAACACTTGTATGAACATATATTCAATTCACGTTTATTTTTTTTGCCAGAATCTATTAAAATACTTTCTCACGGAAAGGTGCTCTCGAAACATATTATGAACTGCGCAGATCCGTGTAGCGGGGTCGCGCGGCATGTACGTGGAATTTGGGGTGCACCGAGACACAATACTCCAAAGAACATGGTCTATATAAGAGGCAAACGCACTGAACAAGAGGTCGCCGAAATCACAACACCTCTCGCTGTTCTCATTCACACTCAACGTGAGTTGAAAAATCGACACTCGTCCTCCGTATAGACGTCGCCCTTACATATTTGACCCACAGAGACACAAGGTCAAAATGGCGCAATTATAAGCCGCTTTTCCTTGTTCTATCGCCGTGATTCAAAACCCGGCGAGAGGCGGGGGAGGCAATCTGGGAATTTACATCCACCGACACGGATTGGTATAAGATAATAGCGATATATAATCATTTGTACTATGACTCACATGTTAGGGGGATTATGTTGGGTAATACCGTTTTATGGGCGCGTGAAACTCCACAGTGAATCACAGCGGAACTCGTCTTCAAAAGTTCATTTCACATAATGTTTCCTACATCGAGCAAGACCGCCTAGTACATTGAAATGTAAAAAACATAGCTCAAAGTTCAAATGTTTATCGGTTAACGACAACTCGTTAAGCTTGACGTGAAACCGTCGTGTCATTCATGTCATTGTCAATTTCACACCGAAATATTTTAGTTTCGTTTTGTTATGATTCATTTGGGCGTCTAACCGATCTGGCGATCACAGTACATTTCCCCTCAAGAAATTGGACTAATTCACCCATATCTTGGTGCATGAATACGTAGTAAAATGTGGGCGGGTTGTGTGTAAATTTCACAACATTCATATTACAATATCATGGCGTTATTTACAAATCATGCACACATGACAGATTGGTCACACATCGCCTAAAGGGTGCAACTTAATATCGGAAAACACTGTGCACCGTCATAACAGCGTGATGCATTGTAATTTACGATGTTGCTGTTGCCTCACCTGTGTCGTGCATGTCTCAGGAGTTCACACTGTTTTGATTAACCTGATTGTTTTGTAAAATGATATTCAATTGTCACAGGATCACACGTTTAAGCACGTCACCTTGAGACTATGACACGTGTGTCTTTAAAGCTAATTCATTGAAGTGTACGCACAAAGTTCAGTCATTGTAAGTCGTTTGCGATTAAATGTGTCTAATATCAAAATATGAACTCTCATCGCCGACCGAATGACTTCACAAGACTTGGATGAACTTGGTCTTGGTCTATGGTGTAGGAGTTTCTCTAAGTCACATCATCTACGAAGTTAGGATGTGGTTTACTAACGGGTACATTTGTCCACACTCCGGATCCTTTGTTTCAGAGAGGGGCGGTGGGGTAGCCTAGTGGTTAAAGTGTTCGCTCGTCACGCCGAAGACCCGATTCCCCACATGGTTACATTGTGTGAAGCCAATTTCTGTGTCCCCTGAGACCCGTGAAGATCCGAGGTAGAATAGGTCTTCACCAACCCATGCTTGCCGTAAAAGGCGACTATGCTTGTCGTAAGAGGCGACTAACGGGATCGGGTGGTCAGGCTCGCTGACTTGGTTGAAGCGCGTCATCGATCCAAATTGCGTGGATTGATGCTCACGATATCAATCACTGGATTGTCTGGTCCAGACTCGATTACTTACAGACCCCCGTCATATAGCTGGAATATTGCTGAGTGCGGCGTAAAACAACAAACCAACTGTGTCCCCTGACGTGATATTACTGGAATACTGCTAAAAGCGGCGTAAAATCGAACACACTCACTCGTCTTAGACATTTATTGTAATAAACTGCGGGCGAAACAAAACATACAACCATGTTTGAAGGTGGCTTACAGTGAAACAAACACGAAATGGTTATTCAATGGTGATGTATTTTATACGGGTATCATAGGCGATATGACATGCATCATGTCAATAAGTGTCTCACAAAGGCGACGTGCACGTGACATCTCAAGGAACATAGGATCGTAATTTCACAGTACACAGTGAAGTGGGAATTTCCAAATGTTTACTTTCTTTTGCTGGCGGTATATATTCATGAAATTTGCATAGGCATCGTCAAGGTGTGAAAGTGGCACCTTTGATGTACCATATGTTTAAACATTACACGTATGTTTAATTCCTTTTGCCGTTTCTACGGATATATTTCGTTTCCAGCGAAGAGCTAAAATACTGTTTGGAATAGGGGCGGTGGGACAGCCTAGTGGTTAAAGCGTTCGCTCGTCTCGCCGAAGGCCCGGGTTCGATTCCCAACATGGGTACAATGTTTGAAGCCCCTTTCAGGTGTCCCCCGCTGTGATATTGCTGGAATATTGCTCAAGAGGCGTAAAACCATCCTCACTCACTCACTGTTTCGAATAACTTATCACTCCTAACGTAATAAAAAAAGTATTTTTCAACTATTTCATACT